ACGCCGTATCACCCCTCTTATTTTGTACAAGGCCCTCGGCCCTAAACTTCTGTTTTGAGAAGCGCTATTCCCGTCTTCATATGTCAAGCGATTATTCTTGGCAACGGGTTAAATATCAATCTCGCCATCAGCAATGGCAAGTCGCTGCTTTGTCGTCTTGGCCTTCTTACTGCCCCCTTTTCGTTTCTTTGCAGCTTTCGTGTCTCCGACTTCGACTGGAGTAGCAGTGCCAGAAGGTTTATTACCATCGTCGAAATGACCCTCGCCTGTAAGAATACGGTTAGTAATTTACCTTGATAGGCTCAAGTGATAATATAAGTAGACAGCTTGGCTTACCCTCATGATACATCTCATCCAGACTGACAGCTTCCCGCTTTCGTTTGTTACCACCCCGCTTCTTCGTTGCTTTATCCAGCTCGCCACTTTCAAGCAACTCTTTCTCACGCTGCTCAATGAGCTCGGCTTGTTCGTCGTCGGCAAGCCACATAGCAATGTCGCGGTTGCGATTTTCAGCTGGGCGACGTCCGCTAAAGTCAACACCCCGAGCGCCGCCTCCTTGGATAACAACTCGCTGCACTTCTTCTTTCTGCATCGCACGCTTCCGAATACGTTCTTCAATGGTCCCACGAGTAATGAGACGGTAAACAGTGACTTGTTTAGTCTGTCCGAGACGATGTGCACGATCCATAGCTTGCGAATCAATAGTAGGATTCCAATCGCTGTCGTAGAAAATAACCGTATCGGCAGACGTAAGATTGATACCCAGACCACCAGCACGAGTCGATAGTAGAAAAATGAATATTTCAGGGCGTGTCTGGAAATCATGAACGGTGTCACGACGATCCTCCAACTTGGTGGAACCATCCAAGCGACAGTATTTATAGTTGCGGTAAGTGAGGTACTCCTCCATAAGGTCAATCATTCTCGTCATCTGGAAGTATAGGAGCACACGGTGGCCTTCCTCCTTCAGCTTGAACAACAGGTGATCCAACTTGGCAAGCTTTCCGCTATCGGTGACGAAACGATGCATGCTAGGGACGGTAATATTTGTGAATCGCCGCTTCTCGTTATCAGGCTGAGGAAGCATCGCGGGTGACGGGTATCGTTCGATTGGGACATTCCGCAAAACAAGAGCCTTTTCTTCCGGCTGGTTAGGTCCGTACAGAATCTTTCGCATTTTCATGTTGAACAGCATATCCTCACGTTCGGCGGTTGGTGCTCGGGTACCCTCGCATGAAACCTGTATAGGCGGAGCGGAAGCACCGGGCAAAGCTGCTTGCTCAAGCCGGCCTAGACCCAAATCTCGCCAGGTCCCCCGGGAGACATTCATGAGATTATCGAGCACACCCCCGGTCGTGATCTCTGCTAGAGGTTTCCGATCCGAACGTGCCGTGATCTGGAACAGGGCGTGGGCAGGGGTATAGTTCTCCTCGCCAGGCTCGTCGTAGATCACATTCATGCGGCCAAGTCGGTTCTCTTTCTTAACTAGGTCCGCAGCTCGCGAAAATACATCCTGATGGCTAGCTTTGTAGACATCTTGCGGGCTGGCATCGGCAAATCGAAGGAAAGAAAACCCGTCATTACCAGATGTGCTTTCGCGTACGTTTTCAGGGGCCCAGATATTCATAAGATGGTTTAGGTATCTGCTCCTAAAGCCCGCCTTCTCGTTGTCTTTCCCGGCCTTGTGCAACCGACCACCTTCGGTCCAAACAAGGCGCGGCAACTGGTAGTCAATAAGATTGCGAGTCGAATAACCAACCGCAACGTTATTTCCTTCGCGTACAAATGAAGCAGTTTCAGCGAAGTAACCAGTGAAGAAGGGACTCGCCGTATCGGCACGCTCGAACAAGTCGGGGTGGTTACAAACTTTTCGGAACTGCATGACGAGGTTCATTAATGTACCCGAGTCTTGATCGTCTCCGAGCGTCGCTTTCTCAATCAGATCCATGATACTAATCTGGTTCCGTAAGTTCCTGTAGTAAGCGCGCTGTCGGTAAGTAAGCTCGCAGAACACGTCGAGCTCGATCTTGTCGCCAAGTTCCTTCTGTACATGTTTCTTGACTCGGCGCAACATAAACGGCTTGAGAATCAAATGCAGCCGCCTAAGCTGGTCCTCATTAAGCGTCGTATTGCTCTGGGCATGTGATTCAATATCCTTAGAAAACCATTCGCTAAATTCGTCATGCGAGTCAAATAGAGAAGGCATGATGAAATGTAAAAGGGCCCAAAGTTCCTGCATATTGTTCTGGATCGGAGTACCGGTAAGAAGTAATCGGTTACGACAGTGGAACCCAAGCAGGCACTTCCAGCGCGAGCTTTGAGAGCTCTTGATAGCTTGCGCTTCATCGAGGATCATATATTGCCAACGCATTTTCTGGAAATAAGAAACATCCGAGACGACAAGCTGATACGATGTAACCAAGACGTGGAAAGGTGCGTCTTTACGGTAGGTGTTGTGCTTACGGTCCCAGAACTTGCGGAGCACTTTTCGGTCTCCAGCAGTACCCCAATACGGAAGAACCTTGAATTCTGGAACGAATTTGGCTATCTCCTGCTGCCAGTTGTGTAAAGTAGAGGCAGGCGCAACTACAAGGTACGGGCCCCAGATATCGTGGACCTCGGCGAGATAGGCCATAACAGAGATAGATTGAACCGTCTTTCCGAGACCCATTTCGTCTGCTAGGATGCCGTTAATGCCTTGTTCGTAGAGGTTGGCAAGCCAGTTTAGACCCTTTAGCTGGTACTCCTTGAGTTGGCAGTTCAGCAACTTAGGCTGCTCGACCGTCACATCGCCAAGACCAGTTGGATTCTGGAAATTCATTTCGCCGTCCTCGTCCATGTCATTGTCCGGCTTATTAAAGCTCCGCGCCTTCGCCTGTGCCTCTGCAATAGCATTCTGAGCATTTGCCATCGCTGCTTGTCTTAGTGTCTCTTCATCCTCGGCGTCGAAGTTCAGATTCTTAAAATCTGTAACCTTCCTGCCGACAGGACCCGATGGTTCTCCAACATCAACATCGGTAGACTTAGGAGCAGCATTGGCATCCGGCGCGATATCTGGGTTATCAGTGCTACGCTCGACTTCGTCCGTCTTGATTTTCTTGCCGATAAAGTGTGAGTATAACTCTGTCTGGGATATTAGGAAGTTAAGCTTCCTCTTCTGGCGGGCAGCTTCGCGGTCGGCTTCCTCTTTACGAGCATTCTCAAGTTCCTGACGCTCTGCTGCCTTGCGAAGATCGCGCTCCTCGCGTTCGTTGCGCTTCCAGAAGCCCATCATATCGCGCATACAACGCTTTGCACGAGCCTGGAGGTCTTTAGTGCCTTTATTGGTACGAAGTTGCCAACGCTTAGCCTCTTTCGAAGCCAAGATAGCAGTCTTCTTAAGATTCGAAGCCTTCGTGCCATATGAATCGCTCGCCAACTTAAAGGTCTTTGGAACATCTTTGCGTGCGAGATCGCGCCAGATCTGATCATAGATCTGGTTGTAGCCTTTGGATTGGAACTTGGCTTCGAGAGGGTTAAGTAGAGGCTCTTCGACAGACTTTTCCTTCTCCTTCGGGTCCTTAGTAGGGGTGTCCTTAGATTCCTTCTCCTTCTCTTTGGGCTCCTTGGACGACGACTTGCTTAACTTTATGCGGATCTTAGTCTCTTCTTTGCTAGGCAACTCTTCGCCCGCATCTAGAGCAGCTTGAGCGGCAATAGCCGAATCCTTCTCTGCCTGTTTCTGCTCCTTCGACTTCTTCGGACGGTTGCCACTACGGCCCTTGCTCTTGCTCTTAGAGCCAGCCTCGAGATCGGTCGCCTGGAAAGTCGACATCGTGCCACCTTCTAGATTTAGCTCAAGTGGTGCCAAGTTGCGTGCCGGACCCTTTATACCCTTTTGCAAGATCAGCTTTGTTTGCTGCGCCTTTTTATTGGCACGTTCCGCGTCTCGTAGCCACTTCGCTCGCTCGTCGTCATTTTCGGCAGCACGCGCCTTCTCTAAAGCCGCTTTCTTTTGCTCGATGGTGACCTGCATAGACTTTTCTCTACGTCGCTTACGTTGCATGTCCTTCTTGCGCTCTTTCTCGGCGTAAATCTCGCGTTCTCGGACTTCTTGCAAGGCATCATCGTAGTGGAGCGTGTCGTATCGACGCCGGCCATAGCTCGCATGTTCATTCAATTTGATTGATAACGAGATGGCTAGGTCTCTTCTTCGACGAACGTGATCATCATCTTCCATCTGTTCAATATCTAACCTACGCTTCTTTAAACGTCCATGGAAGAATTCCTCTTCGGCTTCGAGCTCGGATAGGTCGACATCTTCCATCTCGGCATCAAGTTGGTCAAGCAGACTCTGGATCTTCTTTTCTTTGTCGGCCGAGAGGGTCTTTGGCTTGATCTGGCCATTGGCCTGCCTCTTTGGGGCTCTTGAAGGGGTTTCCTTCGCGTGGTTCGCAGACGCGCGACGCGAGTCTTTTCTAGAACTACTTTCGGAGTCCTTCAAGATTGACTCGCGTCCTTTGCTCTTGCGAGCTGGCTTCTCTTTAAGTTCCGTCATGATGGGAGCCCTAGGCTTCGGAAGAGGTTCGGCGCTGGAAAGGATGTTGGAGAAGGACATCAGCTCTGCTGCACGGCTAGGGGTCTAAAAAAGGGGGATGTCAGCATTCATTATCATCATCGTACTAGTATTAGATAAATACAAAGGAACGTTACTAATCACGTACATTTGATGATGAAGTTGGTTCCGGGTTTAATATTGATGGCAGTGACGGTGCCGGTGTTGAAGAGGTGTTGCGATTGGTAGATGTGATGGAATCTAGTGCAGTACGGTTGTGACGCGAGGGGGGAGAACCCAAATTAAGGGCTTTGTTGGAAGGGCTGGTCGGTCGGCCGTCGTTTTTGGGGTGCGAGTGTGAATGCGGGCTTCGTGGATATTTTGCATTCACAGGTGAAGGTGAGCCGTAACCATTATAATATTCCGTCTTGGACTGCGAGAAATCATATGGGTCAGATCGCTGAAAGGGACCAAGGTTAGTTAAGAAAAATGTCGATGATTCCTAATGGAAGATTGGTTGCAATAAAAAAAAATTGATTGATGATGTTCCTTGTCCCGGGGCGAACACCGAACAAAACGTTATGGATGCTCGCACTGCCACTAAGCAAACTTATGTAGGTACTTTGGAATGAATATATAAGAGAAGGTCTGAGTTGCTAATAACCCATATTTAAGATTTTGTGGTGTCAAAATATGTTAAGACACATTCGGCCAACATAATGTAAAATACTTAAAAGGCTCTAAAAGTTGTGTTCGGGTATTGAGAGTGGGAATGTAGAATATTTTTTTTATTTAAAGCTTACCTGCACCTGCTTGGACCAGTTGTCGGAAACTCTCCTCTCCCTGGTTGTATCGGTAAGCGGGTCATAAAAACTCCCTGATGCTTTTTCTCTGGATGGTTGATGGTAATCAGGCGGCGAGAGATGGCCTGAGGTCTTAGGAGGCTGCAGCGGCGATGCACTTGCACCATTCGTAGACGACATGGCAGACGATGATGCCATAATTGAGCTCAAGGCTCCCGGCGGAGGAGCCAGAGAAGGTAAAGAAGATGAGGGCGCCAACAGTGTCGATGAAGAAGTTGACAATTGATGCGACGCGTTACTATAAGGATGCGCGAGGGAAGTGGTTGTAGTGGGTGGCGGTCGCGTCGTCGATCTCGATGTAGGCGATGCAGGAGTCGTGATGGATGCGACAGACAAGTTATTTTTTGGCGATGGAGAATGGAGGAATGAGGAAGAAGAAGTGGTGGTGGGATTATGATTGTTGGTTATAATAGTAGTGGCGGCGGGCTGACGAAAATCTAGTGGTTTCGTCGAAGCCGTAATGGTCGGAGATGTGTTATTGCTATTCCTATTGTTGCTGGTACTGCTGCTTGAACCGGCACCAGTGTGCCCATTGTAGGTGTGGGTGTGGATATGGCCGTGGCCGTGGCCGCGAACGGCTTGATTTACGTGGGTTGGTACTTGCGCTTGAGCTTGAGCCTGGGCTGCGGCTGCGGCTGCGTGGGTAATAGGATTGGAATCAGTATTGGCGTCAAGGTTCAGGTCATTCGCGTTGCCTTTGCCGATAGAATTAGTAGAATTGGAGAAACGTGGTCCTAGCGTATCTGAATATGTCATCCCCATCCCCATCCCCGTACTCATCCCCGTACCGGTATTATTGTTAATATTTCTAGGCCCTATTCTTGGTCTTGATAGTGATCCTAGTTGCGATGTAGGAGTAGCACCATTCGAATTGCCGTCTCTACCGTCGTCGCTATGATTATCGTCGTTTACGTGGTGGAGGACAGTTGCATGAAACCCATTCGATGCCATCTTCTCAACATCCAATTGCTCGCTTTCTCGTCATTCACATACTCTCTCTCTGTCTCTCTGTCTTTCTTCTCTCCCACTTACACACTTCCTTCTTCGCTGGACCGGTGGCTGATTTTATAATTGTCTTATGTTCCTAACTCATCGTAACTTGTGTGCGACGTGACGGGGGTAAGACAAGAGGCTGACGCCTTGGGATTCGGCAGCGGAGAAAATAGAGGAAGTTCGGTTACAAATAGATAAGTAAATCTGACCAAGATACTTCCCCAAGATAGCTGAAGAAAGTGTGCGATCGTTCTATTAGTACGGGTTGGATCTCGTTGTCGTGATTCGGGAGGCCAAAATATTTAGGTTAGAGGCTAGGTATTTGTCTACAGTAGTTCTTTGTCGCAAAGGATATGCGCATCGGCAAGAAGACTGCTTTGACAGATGCAGGCTCCAACAAGGCTAGTTCAGAGGGCGAAACTCTAGTCTAAATCATAGCTAGCGATACATTGGAAGCTGGGTGATGCTGATGAGAGACGGGTTTATAAGGCTAGTGAATGCGACGGTGCGGGCTGATGCGAAAACTACACCTTAGGTATGCGATGCAAGGGGGAAATATGTAGCACCAAGGAAATGGGAATAAGATAAGATAGAATGAGGGAAAAGAGGGGACGGGAAAGGAAACAGCGAAGAAATCAAAAAGTGAAAGGGGCAGGCAAGAGAAGGGTGCACCGGTGCAGGACAGGACAGGACAGGACAGGACAGGACTTTCAGGTGGAAGGGTCGAGAGACTAAAGAGAGGAGCGAAAGAGCAGGTGAGGACCGATGCGATGACGATGACTTCTTCAAGCATACTGAATTGTATGAATTGTATTGTACCTCAGGTAAATATCCAATAAGGATTCGCACTAAGACTGTGGACATCGTACCTACTTTCCATGGCAACATGGGCATCGCATTAGAAATGGAGAATGGAGAATGGAGACACTGATTAGCCCGTTTTCGTTACTGCACGTCTTGGATGCCACTGCCACTTTTCTTCCCACATTCAGTGCTTCACGCCTTCTCGCCTTCTCGCCTTCTTGCCTTCTACATACCGCAGGGCAACAGCAGCAGGGCAGCAGGGCAGCAGCTCTCTGCCAAGAGGAGTCGTTCCGTAACAGTGACGATCGATCCAGACGGGGGTACGCTGGGGACAGAATACATATTGAACTAGACCAGGTCCAGACCCATAATCTACCCAGTCACAGGGCTCTCATACAAAATTCGAGGGAAAAAAACCCCTCCACACAATGTCGAGCTCAATAATCCCTGTCTTCCCGCTCACCCAATTATAAATCCCTGCTCCCTCGCGTCTCCGCACTCCTTCTCTGGCAGTCTGGGTTTGTACATACATAGGTACATACCTGTATGCAACTCTAGATGTCCCGAACAAGGGAAAATACCACCAACGCCGAAAAGAAGGAATTAAGAGAATGAAGGAAAATATCTCAACAACATATAAGATCAAACTCTTACCTACGTAATATTCTTAAGAATACCTATCCTCAAATACCCAGAGATGAGAGATAGCATAAAGGCAGGAAAAAGTAAAAGTTAGGTACACAATTAAATGCACATACATACATATGATCTGATCAATCTGATGAGAAAGCGCGTTCCATACGACGAAATAATAAGATGGATCACCAGGGCTGGGGAGCCAATCGATAAGAGAGAACAAACACGCAGCCACGAATGAGAGCTCCGGGGCAGCCGCAATTTACAATACATGCATACAACATGATAAGAGCTTATCCTGTTCGGGTTAAATGTGGACCATATGCCAGGGGCGTTTCGAGCGACACGGTACTCCAACGAAGGCTGGGCTTCCGCCTGCGTACCTAAGGTAGCCTTCTTCTGCCAACACGACACGAGACTGACCGGCGCAAAATCCTCTCACACGCGAGTTTCTTGGACAGAAAAAAAACCAAGGGAATGAAAAGAAAAATAGGCTGTCGGCATCCGTACATCCACTTTCTACGCGTCTGCTACGATTGTACGATGTTCTGTACAACGTAGGTTGTCAGATAGATGGGCTTTCATCCATCTATCTCGTACAGAGAGACTCGTACATGACTTGTTCACGCGCGCATCGCGATTAGTACAACGTACAGCTCAGCTGCATAGGTTAGGTACCTGTTTCGAGTTTCGGACGTTACTGTACTCCACGTTTCGACTGCATGGCTGCATGTAAATCGCCTGTCACCGAATTCAAAATGTGAGGTCTCTCCAACTCACACCACTCTTCAACTCGGACTAGCGAGCAAGGGGCAAGGAATGAATGAACTTAACATAATCTCCGACTATATTATGTAAAGAATTCCCCTCCTGACCAAATGAAGGAGACGATAAGATACTCTACGAATTAAATGACCGAGAACGACATCCAAACAAGGAATAGGCCATTGCCAGATGCTTTATGTATAGGTACGTACGTATGTAGGTACGTTCCGAATACCTCGGGAAACCCTCACGGGCAGCTCATAGATAGATTAGGTACCTAACTAGTTCATTGCAATAAGCACCTGATACTTCTCTTTATTTTCAACAACACACATGAAGAAAAGTCCAGTGTATATCAATTATTTTCAATCGATATCATAGTGCGAGCAAGATCTCGAATTGCACCACCCCTGGCTTCGTGATTAAAACGAGCCAAGCCAAGCCATCTTCCCCGTCTCCACATAATAATTAACAGCCCCCTTTTCTAGAGTACACTATGTAGAAGCGAAAAAATGTAAAGTGATGCAAGGAAATAAATGAGCGACAAGAAGTGAAGTATGCATTTTAGTCTCCTTCCCCCTTTTATACGATTCTCTTTTCCCTCTCGCCCCTATGATTATGTTACCTTAGGTAGTTTGGGACAGAGATGGAGGAGAGAATAAAGAGAGAGAGAGAGAGAGAGAGAGAGAGAGAGCGAGAGCAGGAATTCATTAGATCATGCGCCAACTGCGGCGCAGGCGCTCGACGCCTTTGCCCTGCCGGCCGCGGGTCTTGCGGCCGCCCCACCAGGTCCAATTGTCCTCGTCTTCGCTCTCCCGAATAGCCTCGTCACTTTCATACTTGTCGGGTTTTCCGGTCGGATATCCTGCGACGGTTGAGGTAGATTGAGGGTGGGTGGCAAGAGTAGTAGGGACTGATGACGGTGCTGTTACTGCGTCGGCAGAAGATGTCCCACCAGCGACGATAGTAACCCCAGGTTCCATCGTTCCTATCGGGAAGCAAATCTCGCCGCCACCGTAGCCGCCGGAGATGCACGTGCTTAAAGGCAGAGACGAGGTCGCGGTCTCAGCGTCAGTGCTGCCAGTAGAACTAGGAGGGAGAGGCGCCACGAGTACTGTACTAGTGCTAGGGAATGGCAGGCTGGTTGGGTAGCCGGGACTCGAAGAAATAGTAGGGAATGTCTCAGTGCTGCCTTTCGAAGAGATGGTGGCTGTTGTGGCATCTGTACTTCCAGTAGTGTAAATAGAACTTAAGGGGACAGGCGCTGGCTGGCTTGACGTGCTAGAAACCTCATCTGAGGAGCTGGCGAGATATCTACTTGTTGAGAACCCAAGAGTTAAAGAAGTAACAATTGAACCCGTGACTGCGCTTATGTCCCCCGTACTGTAGGTTGGAGTTGGTGATGCCGCGGGGATGGTGTAGCAGATATAGGTATAGCCACCTCCATAGGTTGGCTGTTGAAGGCAAGTGGTGGAGGCGGAAGCACTTGAACTCGGAGTTAAAACTGTCTTAGTAGATGCAGTTTCAGTCAAAGATTCGGGGAAGCTAAACGTTATCGTACTCCAAGTATTTAAGCTACTTGCTACTCTGGATGTCGAAGAGGATGCAGTGCTGATTGAGCCCGATTCGTTCGAGGAAGGGCTGGTTACCGCAGCAGTTGAAGAAGTACCTATGACAGGGCTAGAGTAGGGGCTTGAGCTGCTTGAGGAAGCAGTAGGGAAAAGTTCCGAACTAGTCGTAGAGCCTATAACGACGGTTGTCGCCCATGAGAATGAATTGCTAGGGGTGTAATAGGATATTGTCTCTGTCCCAACAGTGCCAAACGAGGAGCTATATGCAGAACTAGTTTTTCCACTGATAGATCCTATTGTCGAGGATGATGTAGGTACTGGGTATGTCGTAGCTGATCCACTGGACGTATCAGTTGTGCCAGGAAAACTACCCGTCTCGGTGCTCAAAGACGAATGAGGAGAGGTTGTGTAGCTGTGAGACCAAGTCCAGGAGCCTGTGCTAAAGTTTGAACTGAAGATCGAGGACGATATGCCAGACGAAGCTGAAGTAGAGATACTCTCAGTAACAGTACTCGTGCTATATGGGGCCGTGCTAGAAGTGCCGGAGATCGAGGTATCTGACGCTGTCCAAGGGATTGGAACGATGGTTGTGGAAGTGAGAGTGGATTCTAGTGAAGATGACCAAGAACTAGCTGGATATGTCGAAGTTGACAACACTCCAGTTAATGTGCTGGACTCCGATGTAGGGCCAACGGACACGGCTGGACTGGTCGAATCTGTTCCAGTTGGTAATGTCTCTCCCGTACTCGATGTGGACACATCGTGATCACTTGTCACTGAGTATGATGTGCTTACAACAGGAGTAGAAGCTGACGTGTTTGTATCGGAAGAATCTGTTGCAGTTGAGAACTCATCAGTGCTATAGTCTGTTAGTGTTGTATTCAGATATCAATATTAATTAATATTAAATGCCCTTTCTCACCATGTGCTGCTTAACGTCTCTGGTAAAGTATTCGCCGTTGAGCTCGTGACCGATCCGGTACTGTGGGGGAAAGATGACGACGTAATGGTGGTGTTAGGAAATCCCGAAGAGTACGTTGGAATGGGAGAGCTGTGAGGAATACTCGTCGGCTCGCTCAAAGTGGCAATGGAACTTGTTGTTAGAGCTATAGTGGTATCGACGAAGGTAGTAGAAAGAGTAGAATAAGAGGAAGCTAAAGACGAGGATCCAATAGGAGCCGTATACGAAGTTCCCAACGTGTTAGTTGAATACGACGATAAAGTGGAAGACTCGGAACACGCGGCAGACACTGTTACAGTGGAAGCACAGCTACTATCACAAACTGTAACTGTGGTCGTAACAGTTATTGCTTCTGGCTGCTGAGGGAGAGCATTGATAAAGGTAGCTCTAAGGCATACGTTAGTATATAACACCAAATAATTAACATCAAGAAGAAGCATACCCCAGGCCTAAGAAGGCCAAACAAGTGAATGGATACATCATGAGGGTCTCGAGATGGTAACTAAACAAAACGAATGTAAAAGCCTCGAGTAGGCGAGAATCTTAGAGAGACGGGATATAGAAGCGTATCTGACTCGAGAAGATGTCCTCTTTATAGACCTAAATATGCTCCAACTTGCGATTACATAACTGCATTTACGAAGACACACATTGTTCGATGCTCCATGACAACATGGAAAGCGATGACTTTCAAGGGGCATGTGGGTCTACGTTTGTATACATCAGGACAGCCTTAGATCCATGCGACATCCCGACGGAACATGCTTCGTAACTTGGTTCTTTACTGGGATCACCGACGATATTATATTGAATGGGCCGACAGCAGTTGCTAGCCATAGTAGCGCAAAGCTCAACGACGTCGCCAGAATCATTATCATTCTAAGACAATCTGCAGATAACAGGGCTGCGATGTCGTTCGAATTAAACTATTGGGCGGTTCTCAGTGACAAAATGTCTTACACGCACGTTTCCTAATATAAATACAAGTTCATTCGCCATTCTTCACTGCCAAAGGCTAAGATTAGAACTCGTTTGCGGCGTGCGACGTGGTTGTGCTTCGGGATGAAGCCGCCAACTAGATGTTGATATAACGGCTGGCTGCTTCCAAGGTATCCGAGGAATCTGGTTCCGGTTAATACAAGCATACAATCAAACGAATTGGTTAAGTTTGGTTGGCACATGGTTTGCTTGACTACATACCCTGGCTTCTCGAATCAATAGCATAGGCTACCGGTACTGGGGACGGGATCTTGTTTAACACGAGCTCCTCTCAGCCCCCCTACCATATCTTGATACAAGATTTAGAGCCAAATTAAATGCACAAATCCGTTACGCTACTCATGCAGAGCTACGATTAGAGATATCAGCTCACATACGTTATATGTAGGTAGTATATAGAATCATGCGTGCGGCTTAGACTGTTGTTGCCACTACATACCAGTACGCAGGCGATGCTTGAGGGGTCAATAGGTATTACGACTTATACAAAAGTTGTTCCTTGCATATATCTTAAATATATTGATCGATATCTAACGACGGGAAAGTTGCTGAGGCGGTAATTTTACATGCCTTGTAGCTGCTGAAGATGCAGGCTTCCGGTGCCGTCCGACAAGTCACAGAAAAAGCGGAACATATTAGAACGTGAATCCATATGAACAAGGTCGATCACCACGAATAATAGGGTAACAAGGTGTTACGAGCAAATATTAATAATAGGGAGGATATCAATAACGTTAGTAGCGTTCCATATTGCGTGGGTGGGGGTTTGAATTGATGAATGCCTACTTGGTAACATAGTCCGAGGGGAATTTGTAGGATAGAACAACACAGAGGTTCGGCTCGCGGGAGAAAGGGATGCTGTCAACCGTGAATATGTCCTTCAGACACAGAAACTTCCGAGCCGTGATTGAGTACCTAGTGGACGCGTGGGCCTAGGCATCTGCCGGAACCCATTGGATAGACGGAGTAGCTCACGCGTATAGTTGCTGACGGCACATTTTAATCGGCCGAGACCCGGCGTGCTGGGCATGTGCTTATGAGGAGGTCAGGTACCATCAATTGAAAGTCAGGGTTGACCCAAGCCGACATCAATTCGCCTCCAAATGTCTCTTCGTCTACGTACGAAGCTTTCGTAAATATATTAAGATGTGACATGATGGACTCGGAGGCCTGAGAGATGATTTAAAAATTGTGCTACTTAGACACAGCTTCTAATGCCACGTATCAGTTTGTATTCCCCTGAGGATGTATTCATTTCGTAGGTAATTTATCTAATTAGGTAATTCGTCTTCTGATGGTTGGGTCTCATAAGGGTGGTGAGAGCTCGATGCTGACGATGGATGGATGTGGGACGGCGTGCTATATGTCATATAACGGTGGCCTCAATGAAGTTGATTAAAAATATATGAGTATCCATGGACACGGCCAGGAGCAGCCGTTGTGGCTTTGTGATAACGCGTACACACAACGTCGGTTTGGTACCGAATAAAGCCACATGTTATGTCTCAGGGCTGTAAGCGGCACTGCGTCATTGCGGTGCGCCATCTGCCATATAACGATGACTTGGTAATTGGGAGCCTATGCACATAACGGAAACGATGACCTTAGAGCCTAGAGAAGGCATAGGAGACATCCTAGTGGGATGTAGTTTTACATCACCTCATGTGCGAGAGGGGCTGGGAAGCTGTATGGTAAAGCTCATCCCTTCCAGAGTCTCAACAGTTGAAAGATTTCTGGAGATGTTCATGTTCAAATGCAGCTAAACTAGGCATATTGCTCTGTATAGTCTTCCAAAGCGCCGTCAACTGTTTATAGCATATGAGCGACCCGGTATATACTCGGTAGATGCCGAAAAGCCGGTGTAGATTCGTGCAGATGAGAGACATTAGAATTGCTCATTGGAATGAGCGCGGAGAATGGTAACTCATAAGGCCCAAGCTCTAAGGTTAATTCAATGGAAGCAAATTGGAGTTGTTGCATAGGTATCCAGCGAATTGACAATATCAATTAGCAAAAGTAGCGAGTAGTCATTCTTTAAAGACGGGACTCTTGGGTCCAAGTGACTAGAAGGTTACTTACTATTATCCCTCACAAATAACCCTGGCAAAGGGGTTATGCTGTGGAACGACTGCAGTTAAGACTTTACATCTCAGGGGAAGCCTGTCGTTGGCTCGTGTGTGGAGGCCTGATGAACATCCGAAACAAAACACCTACCTACGCAGTAGGTTGAACTCAAGGTCTGGTATGATGCTCCCCCTTTCCTCCTTTCCTAGCTGTTGGTCGGCTTCAAATTAATCCCAAGGCACCTAGGATCCTAGCCTTCGCAATAGTATGGAGGAATACCAAGGTAAGCGTCCTCGGCAATGTACGTCAATTTCCACCATTCCCTACTAGATGCTGGCTGACTCTTAACTGCAGTCTATTGACGGAATAAGAATTGTTGCGGCTCATCGTGGTCGGAGATCAACTGCGGTCTAATGCCAGATCATGTTTGGGAAAGCAGCGGGCAATTCTTTTGGTGGCGCACAGTAGCGCTGGCGATATGAGACAACCCATTCTCAAGAGTGTTCAAAACCCGCCGATCGTCATTGTAGGCCATTCCTCTACAGGACGGGGAGCATCAATTATTGACGCTTGACTGATGGATGGCGCCCAAGGGCGGAAAAGAAAGAAGTTGGAATACAGAAAATACGCGGTCAACATTTTAATATATAAGACCAGTCGACGACCACTTCCCCGTCGATTCTTTCTCAGCATCACCAGCATCAAAAACATAAAAAAACGCACTCTCTTGCAACTCACACTCGTTTACATATTCTCATCAGCAACGCTCGTTTCGTTAAGCAATTTCACTCCTTTTTTAATCAATCCTCAACGACACTTCCAAATCAGTCAAGATGCAGTTCACCATCGTTGCCGCTCTTACCATGGCCCTCGGCGCCCTCGGAGCCCCCCAGCTCGGTGGCCCTCCCAACACCAACAGCATCCCTCCCGTCCCCGGTGATGTCACTGTCGGCCAGGCCGGTGACACCTGTGGCTCTGACCTCGACCTCAGCTGCTGTGACAAGGTCGACCAGTCCGGCGATGCCATCAACACTGCCGAAGGCCTCCTTGCTGGTCTCCTTGAAGGTGCCTTGGAAGATGCAACAGTTGGTTTGTTCGATGGCTGCTCTAAGCTGAACGTTGCTGCTCGTAAGTCCATCTTTGCTAGACATATATGCCTTAGGTACCTTTCATCTCTAACATAGTTCACAGTAGTTGGACTTTCGGACCTCCTCGAAAGCCAGTGCAAACAGACCCCCGCATGCTGCCAGCACTCTGGTATGGAACAGGTCAGTATCATACCTTCCACTTTCACAATATAATTGTGCTAACTTTTGAGTAGGACGGTCTTCTCAACGTCGGTCTCCCATGCGTTGCCCTCGGCAGCGTCTTGTAAATGCCAGCTTTGTTTCAATACAGCATGGATAACTGGTGCACAGCAATTTGGGGGAATGAGATATGTTGGGATGTAATGTTGAGGAGAGTGCCAAATTGTATTGCTAGTGTCCTGCTTTCAGTGATTTAGGAAATCTAACTTCAGTCGCTCGTTATAGTATCATCTTCCTGTCGTGACTTGGTTCTCTCTTCGCCCTCACCTCTACTCTGACTACACCATCCGTCTCCCCGCATCTTTCTATTCTCATAACCTCGTTTCTCCGTACTCCTACCACTTCTTGTTTCTCCATTCCATCTTTCTTTTTTCGTAATATTCTAATTAAAAAACGCTCCCAGCGCGCCCTGAATTGATTTTCAATAAAGATCATTTGACAAATAATTAAACCCGTTTTCAACACCAAATCTTGGTATGAATCGATTGCCTAACTGCTTCCCATATGGTATCATCCCATAACGCCAAAGTGGATATATCATAATACGTCGTTAAAGTCATTAGATCAAGTCATTCCATGGTTATAGATAACCAATACTGTAATATACCTACCCCCCTCGACTTCAATACTTTCTCGCAGTGACAGCCTCAACTGCAAGCAGCTCGACTCGGCCGATGTATAATTTCATAACATGGCAGACGGGATCGCCCCAGATAAGGCCTCTTAACTGCTCGTCAGTTGCAACCTGTGCGACGACCCCCTCACTTAGTCGTTCTTCGACGGTCTTCGCTCGTTTAGTTTTGGAGTTTGAATTTCCTGACCTCAAGATAACAATTTGTCCCGCATTACTTAGAGTACTTGGCGGAACGTCCCATATCGGACCTGGGGTTTTCGGTTTGTTTGACTTCGGGGGTGAGCGGGGTGAAGAACGGCTGGATTTCACCGAAACCTTGGACGTTTTTGAAATGAGAGACGTATTAGAGCCGGTGCCATGCGTCTTTCCGTGCTTTGGCGATGAGCTTTTCAACGGTGGAGGATGCTTGCTGGACTCCTTGGCTTCTACTGGAGCTGGCGCAACAAAAAGTTCAAGAAGGCTTTTCACGTAGGCTTTATCGGCCCTCGCGACCGGGTCACCCTCATTAACGAAAGTTAGGAACACGAACTTCTTGAATTCAGAACCAGAGGGTTTCTGCAATGGTAATAGTGAGACTGGAGGTGTGCCGAACGTGATACAATGCACTCTCTTAAAACAGCCCGTTAGAATGTTAAGCTCCGATGACGCGGCTTTGGAAATCGAAAGCATATGCGCGTAAAGAAGAGACGCGACAGCGCCTCCAGCTGAGTGGCCAGTGATTAGAAGTGAATATGAACATCGTCGCGGGTCCTCTTCTAAAAGATGGCGGAGCCTGGCGGCTACTGGAGAGATCATCTTTCGAGCCACAGATAGGAATCCTGCATGGCAGAAGTTGTTCGGATCGTCCTGGAACTTATTAATATGGGGTTATGAGCCTGTAAAGTGTTCATAACCTACCAGGAATCCTTTAGGCGCCGTTGGTGCAGTGTTCAAGTTGACAGACCAGTCCATAAAAGTCGCTGTTCCTCGAATAGCAAACACAATAGTGTTCATATGATCCATTGGAACAGACTTGATGCGCATAGCCTTAGCTCCGGTTCTCCAATCAGCATCGACGTGGGCATCTCGTTCTGCCCCTCGCGGGTTATCATACACTCTTTCCGAGTACTGCGCTGCTAGACATACTAGGCGATATGTCGGTATATGGCTGTTGAGTATTAGTGCCAGCACAATATAGGGATTGTATTACATCACATACAGGCAGAGGGGAGTTAAATTCGACGACAGCTTTGAGTTTGCATATAATTCTACCTTGGCGAAGTAGCCCCGAGAAGCAAGTGACGACGTTATTGCATTCGCTTGTCCCTTGGAGACTTCCTTTGGGGTTCCTTTCTTCCCCTTCTTCGCAGGCTCCTTATGTACGACGGCATGTTGACGTACCTCGGCTGAAGGCGGGGGCACCGGATGAGACTGATACGTGAATAGATCATTCTCATTACCAATGTACTTATCCCGATCGATCAATGTCATCACATCGTTGAAGCTGCTACATATTTGGTCGTACATTGCAGCGCTTTGGTTAAGCATCTGCGTGCCATAGGAATGCCATTTTGGGAGACCGTCATTTAATATTTGATGGCCCATGTTTCCCGGGAACACTTGGTCTACTACATTGGCGGCCGAGCTAAGGTTGAGTTTGCTAACGGTACAGACCCCATTGCTATGAGGGTGCGGGCTTGCTACCGGTTGGTGAGACGCCGAAGGGCTCAAGTAGTAGTGTTGGTTTACAACGATAGGGAGATACTGCTGTTGACTTTGGTACTGAGGGGGAGGAGTTGATCCGCAAGGTAGCGTATTACTCCAACTAGGGGGCGGCGGCAATGGTGGCGGAGGTGCCAGATAGCCAGCAGACTGTCTTGGTGATGGAGTAGTATATGGGTTGTCGTTATAATGCCATTGTTGTTGTGGTGGTACTTGTGATTGAGATGGATTTGGTGGTACGAACTGGCCAACCTTGGATGGCGAGCTCTCCAGAGCTGGTCTCTTCTTGGATCGACTAAAGAAGCCCATGGTGACTCACTCTAAGACTTCAAATTTTTTGTATATGTACGTGGAAAGTATCCTATGCTGCCGAGAGACCAATAAGAGAGCTGATCGAGGAGAGGTATCTGGTATCTGACAGATCTTGAAGACCACCATAGGTATGGGCTGAGATACGAAATACAAAACACAAACTTAAAGAAATGAGTAACAACTCGATCCGAAAAGTTGAACAGATGAATAAGAAATGACAAGAGGCCATCGTATTTTGTTAAATGTGTGTCACAGCAATGAGTCTAAACCTATAACACCCGTTCCGAATTGCTCCAGGCCAATAGAGGCTATCGAAGTTGGTGTACTTCTCAGCGGGTATGCCTTGCCGTTTATAGAATACCGACCATGAATCATAAGAGTTCCGAATGGTGATTCGCTAGGTGATAATCGCTCAGCCCCAATCATTATTTCAGGGGTGATGGCAGTGGTACCATCGAGGCTGGTCCGGTAGAACAACAGACGAACCACGAGCTTCAGATAGAATGAAGATTCGAGCTTATGCAGGTAACCTTGCATACTTGCCATGCGAGTGGCCCCCGGAAGCTATCGGGGGATGTCTCATTGCAACTCGTTAGAGAGCTCTGCGTGTCTAGATTCTACTACTTTGACAGCTCCTCGAGCTATAATCCCCTATAGCATCTTGGGGTTTAGGGCTCCATGCATATGCGTAATGCGGCTAGCCGCCGATAACGAAGAGTTCTCATTAGTAGGATCGAGTGTAATTAAGGACGAGATAAAAGATTCTAATACGGGATTGGAACGATGTTGACTCGAAGCGACTCGGATGGATATACAATTACATATGTGCAAAGTGATGAAAAGAGGAAAAGTGGAATTGTATATGAAAAATTCAGTCTAAGGTAAGTAAGTAATTGTAATGGTATGTTATATTATCCTTATTATTGTTGTATTTTAAAATATTTAGGAGGAATATTTAATATTTATAAAATATATATATTTATGTGTATATTAAATAGGTTTAATAATCTTAGGTTATATAATAATGTTTTTAAAATGGGTAAAAAAATAATATTTTTATTGTTAAAATAAATAAAATAAAAGGGATGTTTATAATATAATTTAATTTTAATTTTTTTATATAGTGAAGTTTGTTAAAAGTTTGTTTTTATTATTGTTTAGTTTTTTTTTTAATAATTATTTTATGTATTTATTTTTTAATTTGATATATTTTATAAGGTATTTATTATTTTAATTTTTAATAATTTATTTTTAATAAGTTTTTAAAATTATTTGATTAAATTGTAATAATTATTTTTTAAATATATTTATTAAAAGGATTAATTTAAAATAATTAATAAATATAATATTATAAATTTTAAAATATTATGGGAAATTAAGTTTATATGTTAAATAATTGATTTATTTTAAGATATAAAATAGTTTAGCGTATTATTAATTAAATTTTTTTTTTAATATAATTATTACGGAAATATTATATTTTTTGTGAAGGTGGAGTAGGATGTGATTATTTTTTTTAAAGAATATAAATTTATATTGTAAATTATAATATTTTTTGGCAATTATTATTATAGTTATAATTATATTGTGGATTTTGATATGTAATTATGGTATTGGGTTTTAATAGTTTGGAATGTGTAAAAATTAAGGGATAATATTAGGGGTAAATTTATAAATGGTTTTTAAAAGGTTATATTAAATAGGTAATAATTGTATTAAGTTAGTTTTATATTATAAATATGGAATGTAATTTTTTTATTATAAATTATTTTTAAAATTATTAAAATAATAATAAAAAGTTAATTTAATTTATAAGATAAATTATTTTATTTATTTATTAGTTTATGGATAGTATATGGTAGTATATAATAATTTTATTTTAATATAATTTTAAAATTGTTTTTAAAATTTAAATAAAAATTTTAAATTTTTATTAAATATTATAATTTTTAAAATTTTTTAATTATTTATTAGTAAAATATTATAATAGGTGTTGGTTTAATTAAGTATTAATTAATTATATTGTTTTGGTAAAATAATAGTGGTTTTTAAAAATTTATTAATTATAATATTAAAAGTATTTTTATTATTTTTGGTTTTTGGTAAATTAAAAATAATATTAATAATAATTATGTGAAATAAATAGGGTAGGTTAATGATTAATTATAGGAAATTATAAGGTAAATGGTTTTTAAATTTTATAATTAAATATTTTGGATAAGATTTTATATATTTTTTAAATTTTTTATAATTAATAATAAAATATATAAATTATTTATTAATTTTATTATGGTTAAAATGATTTTAGTTATGTAATATTTTAAAAATTTTAAAGTGATATATTTTTAAGATATAAAATTTATTATATATATTTAATAATTTTTATAATAATTTATTATTAAGATAAAAAGGGAAAATTATAGCGTTATTTTTAAAATATTTATTTTTTTTAATAATATTAAAAATATTTTTTTTATTTAAGATTTATAAAATATTTAAATTATAATTTTATTTTAAATTTAAGGTGGATTTATATTAAAATTATTTTTTAAAATATTAAATTTATTAATAGGTTATTTTCTATGTATTTTATAGTTAATTATATTATGGAAAATATATTTTTATATATTATAAATATTTTATTTAAAAGGAATTTTTAATGTTTATTTTTATTATTTAAAAAAATATTAAAGTTTTTAATATTATTATTAAGAATATTTAAATTTGTAATAAATAGGTATAATAATATATTTAAAATAATATAGTGTTTTTTAAGTTTATAAAGTATTATAAAATTAAATTTATTAATATATTTTATTATTTATATTAAATAAAGATTTTTATTATTTATTATTATAAAGTTAATAAGATTATTATATTTTATTAATTTTAATATAATTTTATAGTTTATAAATATGTATAGTTTTATTTAAATAATATTAATGTAATAATAGATTTTTTTTATTATTTAAATAAATTTAAAAATTTTTATTTTTATTAGTTAATATTATTATTTTATTAATAATAATATTTTAGATAAAAAGGTTATAGGTTAAATAGTAATTTATAATATATATATAAATAATTTATTATTTTTTATTAAGGAAGATAGGCTTTTATTATTAATATAATAAATAAATATATTAATATCTTTATATAATATATTAAAATTAATATAAAGGGATTATTTAAGATTATAAAAATATAATATTATATATTTAATAAAGGTATTTTTTAGATTTTTAAAAAATAATCTTTTAGTTTTAAATGGTGTATTTATTAGAATATTATTAGTTTATTATTTTTATTTTTATTTTATAGATTTTTTTTATAGGTTAAAATAAATAAATATAATTTTTTATTTCTTTAATAATTTTATTAGTTTTATAAAATAAGGGATATTATTTCTTATATAATTTATAAAGTTAATAAATATTTTAAAGTTTTTAAAAGATATAAGAAATATAATTTTTAAGATTATAATAAATTTTTTTTATTATTAATAATTTAAAAGAGTTAATAAATCTTTTTAAAATAATAGTATTAAAAAAATTAATAAATAATTTTATTAAGTTAATTAAAATATTTTTTATATAAAAAAATATAAATATTAATATTAAATTTTTAATATAATTTTTTAAGGGTTTTAAAGTAATAATGATATTATTATAATAATAATTTATTATATTAACATTTTTAAATAATATATTTATTTAATGTTAGATATATATATTATTATTTTTATATTTTATAATTAAATAATAAAATATAAATTATTTTTTAATAATAATAATTATAAATGCTTATTATATAAAAGGGTAGGTATATTATTAATAATAAAAAATTAATATGTTTATTATTATTATAAAGGTTTTAAGATATATTTTTTAAAATATAATTTTTTAAGATTTTATAAAATAAATATTATTAAAATTTATATTATTAAAGATTTTTGTATTGATAATTATTTGATTTTTTTTAATAATATTGTTAAGATTATTAATTAATTTCTAAATAATAAATATAAATATTAAAAATAGTGTAAGTATTTTGATATAAACGATATATTTTTAAAAAATTAATTTTTTAATAATTTTATTAATAATAATTTAATTTTTTATATTAATAAGGTATGGATAAATTTTTTTAGGGAAGAATTTTTCTTATTTAAATTTTAAATTAAAATAAGGAAATTTATTTTTTATAATATTTATAAAACCTTTATTAATAAAAATATTTTAAAATTATATAATTAATATGTTAAATTTTTTAAAAATATAAAGGTTTTTAAAATTATTATAAATTATTACGTTAATAAAATATTTATAAGATTGATTTATTTTAAAGGTAACAAAATTATTTATAAAATTAAAAATTTAAAATTTAATTTCTTTTTTAAGCAATTTATGTAATATTAAATGTAATATGCGATTATTTTTAATTTATTATTTTTGATATCTTTATTTTAAAAATTTAAAATAGTTTATTAAACTATTTTTAAAAATAATTATATTAAAATTTAAATTATTATAAATAATAATTTTATTTATTTTATTATTTAATAATATAGCATAAATAAAGATATTATTTAAATATAATTTAAATATAAAATCTTATTTAAATAATATAATATAGGTAATTTTTAAATAATAGTAATATTATATAAAAATAATAATTTAATTAGTTATTATTACTCTAGCCGGTTATATAATCAAACTTAAAATTGAATAAGAATTGGTATCTTTTATAAAGTATGGTATATTACTTTAACGTTTAGATTTTTGTGAAAGGTTTTAAATAGTTAATGATAGTATTATATTTTAAAAGAATTGTAAGGATTTATTGATTGGATAAGATATATAAGATAAATATGTAAGATAGGGTTATAAATTGTAAATATGGGAAAATAATAAATATATTTATATTAAATATATAATTAAATGGTAATGATTATAGTTAATTAATTAGAAAAATATAATAAATATTAGATTTTTATATAGTTTATAATTTAAGATTATATAATAATATTTTTGTTTTTAATAATATGGTATTATATTAATTTAATATTTTTTAAAGTTAATAATATTAGTAATAATAAGGTAATTTTAATAAAAAAATATTTT